ACTTTATAATCCAGTGCACTTTATAATCCAGTGTGGTTGATAATCCAATGCACCTTATAATCCAACGTGTCTGATAATCCAGTGCACCCCATAATCCAGTGCACTTGATATTCCAATACACATTATAATCCAGTGAACCTTACAATCAGTGCTCTTTATAATCCAGTGTGACTTTTAATCCAGTGTGCCCAATAATCCAGTGCATTTTGTAATCCAGTGTGCTTGATAATCCAGTGTGCTTTATAATCCAATGTGGTTGATAATCCAGTGCATTTTATAATCCAGTGTGGTTGATAATCCAGTGCACCTTATAATCCTGTGTGCTTGACAATCCAGTGCACCTTATAATCCAGTTCACTTGATATTCCAGTGCACCTTTTAATCCAGTGAACCTTACCATCCAGTGCACTTTTTAATCCAGTGCACTTGATAATCCGGTGCATTTCATATTCCATTGTGCATTTTATATTCCAGTGTGCCTTGTAATCTAGTGCATTTTATAATCCAGTGTGTCCAATAATCCAGTGCACTTTATAATCCAGTGCTTTTTTAATCCAGTGCACCTGATAATCCAGTGTGCCTGATAATCCAGTGCACTTTATAACCCAGTGCGCCTGATAATCTAGTACGCCTGACAATCCAGTGTGCTTCATAATTCAGTGCACTTTATAACCCAGTGCGCCTGATAATCCAGTGTGCTTTATAATCCAGTGGATTTTATGATCCAGTGCGCTTTATAATCCAGTGCACCTGATAATACAGTGCACCTGATAATACAGTGCATTTTATAATACAGTGCACCTTATAATCCAGTGTCCCTATGATAACAGACCAATTCGTTGATATTGCACCTTATAGTCCGAAAAATATGGTATATCTTCCTGCAAACAATGGCACCTGCTTTGTTTAGAAATTGTGTTCATGCCAATATAAATATTGCTAAGGTAGCTAACCGCATGAAAATTTAGTCTTTTATTTAAATTTGCATCCTTTGGTTGTATTTACGAAATACTTTCTTCTAACTGTGTCAAATTTGACCTTGCAGTAAGTTACTCCTACTGCAATGAAGCAAATTCCTTCATTTGTGAAAAACACAATGTCACATTGGTGGAGAGATACCCGCTGGACCCGCAGCCCGGAGGACTTCCTTGTGAAAATACTTCTTTGCTTTTCAGAAATAAGGTCGGACGCTTCCTCTTATTAACAAGATTGCCTGTATTTTGTATGGTCGTTTTCTTCTAGCCCTGATTGGGCACGTTTGATGGAAATGCTGAGAGATTAAAAATGACAGATGTCTTCATGATTTGGGAAAAAAAATAATTGAAAGATGTAGTTTATTGTAGTTAGATTTACTTTATAGTTTTGTACTATAAATGTATTTAAACAATAATATGTCATGCAGATCAATAACATATCATTTTTATGTGGTTAAAGTACTGGTGTTTATATATTTCAGTGCTACACGCTGCTGAACGTAAAGTATTTGTCCTATAAGGAAGCCAACGAGCGGTGTCACTCTCTGAGGGGAACCTTGGTCTCGATATCCGATCAGGTCGAACAAGGTGACGAGCACGCGTTTTATTTTCTTTGAAATAAACAAGCAAGTTTAACATTTTATTATACGTAATTCCTCCCTCACATGTAGCAGCAGACCTTTGTGTGCAACAGTGAAATTAAATGTATTTTAATTTGATCAAGTCTTCATACTGCATATTCTGTTTGTGTTCCAGACTTCATCAACACACTTTTGCCAAAGATGGAAGGTTTGGACAGAATCTGGATCGGTCTGAAAATAAATCTGAACCACAGTGAATGGATCGACAAGTCCTCGTTGAGTTACTTCAACTTCAACCCTCTGCTCCAAGGAATGCACAGAGCTATAAACATTAATGTAAGGCCATCGTCCTTCATGCCTCTTTGGATGAGTTCTGCTGAATTTTAACAGAATGAACACGTTTAGTTTTTGACCACAGTGTTCACGCTTTTATGGTAATTAATGAAACCACTCATTCAACCTTTATTTAGACAGGTAAATCCCATTGAGCCTCGAGGACTCATTTACAAGCGAGACCTGATTTCAGCAAAGAATTATGACGACAATGGACAACAGCGACAACAATAGACAGTTATAAGAAGGCATACAGATTTTTTTTTTAACGAATAGGATGGCTAAAAAAAAGAAAAGTAACAAAAAACAGCTAGATTCTAAGGCGAATGTAGAAAACTAAAAACAGGAACATGTCTGCATCCACACCACAGTTTGTGTAACACACAAAGTTCTGCCTTCAAACATTCTTTGTTGGAGAAAAGTATTCTCGTTTTATCTCGTTTTATCTCGTTTTATCTCGTTTTATCTCGTTTTATCTCGTTTTATCTCGTTTTATCTCGTTTTATCTCGCTTACTCAAAAGGAGCCGCGCTCAATGACAGCAGAAGATTTTTATCTGCAAGGGACAGGTTACACACACTGGTCAGTGCCAGAACACAACGGGGTGTGGGCCAGGGGGTGGGGTGGTGGAGGAGGGGGGTGTGCAGGGGAGGGAAGTGGAGGGAGCTTGTAGGTCCTCCTCCCCCTTAAATATTTGAATAAATTACCGGTAGATTCTATTTCCTGCATTTTGGTGTAGCCTATTTTAACGGGTTGTTGAACATCAACATTTACCTCCTTTTGTAAACACTTGATTAAATTACTATTTTAGAGAGCGACAACAGGTTGTGTGTGAATAAAGCCGCTCCAATTCTGTCATGTCCTACCCCCCCCCTCCCCCC